ATGGGTTCCGAGATTTTGTCCTCTTTGTGAATGAACGCGTCAAGGGCTTTGACTTTTTTCTACAAAGTTCGGAGTCAATATATGTGTATTTATCTTCTAACCAAAAGCTTATTCCACAATTCGATATATAAACTACAAACAACTCGCAATGCCATGATTTGCTCGGAGAAAATTCGCTGACTTTAAGACGGCCATTCAGCTGTGGGCCGCATATAACCAGTTCAAACTCGGTTTATACCAATGCAACATCGCAGTTTCTCAATAGCTAACAAAACTACTTTATGCCAGACACCTGCACGTAGGTGCCTCAAACACAATTTAGATGGCATCTATTATTTTGCCTGTTATCTAGAGCCACTCTCAAAGTAGACACTCCAAAGGTTGATCGTCTTGAAGAAGGAAGCTGAGGAACTTGTTGACAGCGAGTCAGGATCCGTGAAAGGTGCAGGCCAGGCTTGAAACTTTTTACCCTTGTGTAGCCTGTTCCAGGAGTTAGTATAGTGGGGATGGCGCAGCACTCCACTTACTGAACGCCTGAAACAGGCTAACCCTTGTGGAACCTTGTGAAACACAAACTAACTTCAGTAAACTTCTGCCTACGAGACGGTTTTTATAAACCAACATTTTCTCTCATCCTGTTGGAGACACCAGATACCCAGTTTAAGAAAGTGACGATATCAGTGCCCTGTTCAAGACGGAAAAGTTGAAAACAAACCCCTTCCGCGCTGCACGTCCCAGCTAACCAGAACTTGCCCCAAAAAACAATTAGGAAAACTTCCAAATTGTATGAAAACCAAACTTTTTTGGGCTGCACGTCCCGATTAACCAAACCTGCCCCACAACAGAAATTTGGGAAGACTTCCAAATTTCATTTGTCAAAATAGTACAATAAATGAAGAGCCACATCTATAAGCAGCATGTTGTGAAAGCTTAAAACCGCTGTTAACTGTTCACAAAGGCAAAAATCAGAGTCAATAAGGAGCAATTCCACTTCACTACTCGAGTAATCTAAAACTGAGGAAAGTTCAGCCTAGAATGTAATTATTTTGACAGATAGTCACGTCTTGGGGGGCAAAAATAGAATTTCCTGTACCAAGTGCGGTCGTACGAATCGAATAAGTTTTCCTTGACAGGAAGACGTCATGCAAAGTCTAAAAACAGAAACAAGGGTGGAAACCATCGTGATATAAAGGGGGAAAAGTGCGCTACTGAAAAATAGAATCCTTGACTCAAGTGAATGTGACGCGAGCACCATAAGTTATTTCCCTGAACAACGTCTCTCTTGTGGGTAAGTCTACTTTCAAGTAAGGGATGCCGATTAATCGATGTATGTTTAAGTCATTTAAAATAAGGGTACGAGTAAACAGCGTGGTGTATGCCGTATCCAAATCCATTTTTTTTTCTGACAAGGAAAGAAAACTTTGATGATTGAATTCAGGATAACAACATGAAACTTAAGAAAATAATCTTTCTTTCACATTTGCCGGCACAGAGAATTCCTACCACTCCTTTTAGCAAAACATAAAAACGCAAAGAAACACAAACATGCTGCTAAACAAACGACAATTTCGCCTGATCCGGCTTCAACTTAACATGTTATTTGCTAGGAGTCACTCTAGGTATAAAGTCTAAGATCCGCCTTGTACAGTACAATAAACACGTGCTGTTCAGTAGATTTCATTTTAAGCATTAGACCCAGAAGTTGTACAGCATGAGCCAAGACTCATTTTGTAAATGGAGAAAAAAATACCGCGCGAAACTGAGTACTGCTCAGTTGCTTTCTTTAAAAGGTCCCACCACAGCCAGGGTTTCATATACAGACTCGGAAATTGTACAGGCTATCAACAGTATCAGAGGAGAGTACTGCTTAGTAACTCTCATTTCGATGGTCACACCTTAGGATTTCGTCCACAGGTGTAAAAGTTAGAACACTTTATGCAGACAGTAATAAACAGTACCATAGGAATGAAAGTGCTGCTCAGTAGCTCTCATTTAGATGGTCACTTTTTAAGATTTCGTTTAAAGAAGTACGGCCCAGTAAATTTAAATTGATTGCATGATGATATTATGCCCAACCATGTATACTTCTTGAAGTGGATAAACATCGCAGGAAGCAGATTTTTACGGTGAATTAAGAGATGATGTTGACATGAAAATGTTATATTGTTATTGTTTTGTTTTCCGCATTTGTCTTTTTTACTGATAAAGATCGGTGTAAGGGAATGGCTACTGAACGAAAAATTCACAGCATTTTATTTTCCTCTTTGATTTACCTTTATCCGGACAGTTTTTTTACCTAAAAGGTCAAATTAAAGGCATTTTGGCATTACGTTTGAATGGTTACCCATGTATTTTTTTGTGCTCCGTGAAATGAAAAGCCAAGAAAGATGGCGAGAGAAGAAGGATTCCCGTCAGTGGCCACTATTGACTAGTACCTATTGGCTACTCATAATGATACACTATAAAGGAATACACCTTTCTTTTATCTGAAATGGAAGCATACACCTTTCATTTGTTCGAACTACTTCATCGCCTTAAATATAAGATGAAATGAGAGTATGTCCCAGAACCAACATTGAAACTGTGGAGGCTACGATTGGACTCGCAGCACGAGCTTGCATAAGGCATGAAGCGATGTTTGTGTTTTGCAAACCTATATTAACAATATAAAATATAAGAAACAAGGCTGCACTTTTAGTAAACTTTGAAACTCTTGTTTGTTTTGACAAGCTGAGGCAAACTGTGCACGCGATGGCATGTCTTAATTAGTCTAGACCGGAAAAAAACATTTCTTTGTCAGTATACAAGGGTGTCGGCGTTTTAAAAGTCGGGACGAAAATCTCCTACAACGGCGTCTCCGTCAGAACAAGGAAAACTGTCTCCCCTGTTAAAGACATAACACGTTATGAGGCAAAAACCACAGAAACATGCAACAGAAATGAACAAGCAAACAACATACTCACAATAAACGGTACGAACGGATAGTATCTTACAGTAGTATGCAGCCGAGAATAAAAGAGACTTATTCAGTAAAATCTTATTTGTCAGGCCAAGTTGATGAACTGCGATTTCATTATTATTCATGATGCTACTTCGTACCACCATGTCCGAAAGTAACTTGTTGACTCAAATCACACTGATGCCTCTGCATGTTGTTTGTGAAGTACTGTGATCTTGTGCGATAAATTATCAGTTTATATTTGCATCGACTCCAAGTGTAATTTTCAAGAAATCATCATTAGGTATACTGTGCCATAATACTCTACCCATTCAATATCGGAAAAAGCTTTTCGTTCGCCCTACCCCTCCCGTCCCCCCACCCACAAGAAACAAAAAAACAATGTCTTGGTCGATACTTGCTACCTGTCAAAAGTTATTCTTGCTATTCGTTGCCTGGCGACATGTCTGATACTTCCCTAGTGAGACAGTGAATATGTGTAATAACAGTATTTTTGACGGCCACCTTACAAATCGTTTTGGTGTCATCAGCCTTTTCGCAAAGCTTTGTCGGTCAATTTTATACTCTAAATAACAAGTTTGAAAGAAAGAAAACTGTGACTGAATGGTGCAGACGCATCGACGAACTGTGCCTACACATGTTCTGTTTTCGCAAAACGTTTTTAGTCTTCACTCTTCAGAGCACAAAAAGCGCCCACTAGATGCTTTTGAAATCAGGAAAAGAAGAAAAAGATCAGAAAAAATGGAAGAATAAGAAAGCATTACGACGCTTTTTGGTGTGCGTGATTTCAGTTCAAATCATTCATCGAGAGGAAATGGTCTTTCAAGATGATTATCCGCAATTGCACGCTAATGGCATAACCTTTTAACATGACGCATTGAAAATGAGGAATTTTGGGCGTTGTTATCGATAGTTGTTTCGTGATTTCTAGCAAGACAACTCCAAACCACAAGCCCTTACACGTGTGGGTAGTTTCCCTGCGAGGTCAAAGTTTAACATAATATTTTCTCGTATTGCACGCTAGGTTCCACACAACTGAAGAATCAAGCAACAGATGGAAACGCCTCTACCACCTTTTCCAATGAACAGTATTATCTATACTCCAGATAATATGGACTTCTTCCATCGGGATACCGACTATGTACATGGTACGGTGTTTCTTACATTTCTTGTCTGTATCTGTTGGTCTATAAACTTGCATGTCTAGCCTTCGTGTCGTTTGTAATAACCCCAGGATGACCATTTAATATTCTTTAGAATTCTCAAACTGGATAATCTTCTTAGTGATGCTTAAAAAGCTAAGAAGGCTTAAGAAAGCCCAATCCTATTTCGTGTGCTATTGATACGAATGCATTGAAAGACGTTCAAAGCATGCAAATGTACACAACGTAGTCCTTTCGACTTACAGACGACACTTCTTATTCCAAGAAGGGGAAGTTGGGAAGTTCTCACCCATTCTTGAAGAACTGTCCTATCTGTCTAGAATTGTAAGGTGTTTGGAAACACAAAAATACCTACAATCCTTTCATTTTTCAAGCTTATTATGGGGTCATGAAACTTATTTTTAACTTCTTGAATCTGAATGGAAACCTACAATATGACCCTTCCAGATGAAACATATTTAGTACTACTTTGCTTGGTAGTGGGTAACGTTTAGGAATTTACAAAATAAAATTAACAATTTTCTTGAATTTTCCCGTGGTTATAACCAAGAGAAATGGGTTAAATTACTTTTATTAGTGGATCATAATAATAGCAATAACGCTAATCTGCTCACTTCCTGATCGCGTTCGGTTTTTTTTTTTGGCAGAAAAAAAAATCGTAGCTTTATTTTGTGATTATAGCTCCCGCTGGCTGTTTAATATTTATCCTTGACCTGGGGTTTAGGTGGCGCATATTGCTATTTGTTGACCGCCCGTGTTGTAAGAATTCGATAATAAAGCGTATGTCACCATACATGTAGATATAAACGCCACTAATCTTCAAGGCAGGAGTAGATATGACATTTAACGTTCGCTATTATCTCCAGCTTACTTAACATGTCACGAAACAGGGTTATTTAAAGACAAGCTCTCTCCTTGTCAGCTTAGCATTATCCACCGGCTAAGCCACAAATAGGCGTATAATCCTTCATCAAGACGTGATTTCGCTGGTCACTGTGAGCACCACACATTTAGTTGCACGCCAATATCACAAACAGCACATAATCAAACTGTCTTGCACAGAGAAAGGATCTCTTACGAAACGCAATCATGGATTTCGGTTGGCATGGCTATACATACCCTTGCATGGGATGCCCACATTGTCTGGTATCGCGATTTATGGAAGGTAGTAAGAATTCTTTGACATCTTCAGATTTTATTCCTTGAACTTCAAACCGTGTTTAATCGTTTCTGTTCATATAGTGGTCAACAAAAATTCGAAATGTCTTTCATCGGTAAAATTGTATAAAATGTATAGTACTGCGCAAATGTTCTGCTAAATAGGTTTTATTTTAATGGTAACACCACAGAATTTTGTCCAAAACTGCAGCAGTATCTCATCCAACCTTAGCACTGGGGTGGAACACTGGTCATTTCATTCAATTACTAGCTTAATACTGAACGCAGGCTTACATTTAGTGCACTATAACGAGGAATGAAGTTTATCTGTATTTTGTAAAGTAACGCAAAGGTTTGTCAAGTAAAAGTTTCGCTGAACGATTTCTCAAAAAACGGAACCACTGTTATCAAACTGAGGTGTTTACGAGATTAGAGTAAACATTATTCCTTATTAAAATTACCATACGCCAATTCTTAAGATGACTGAGAATTTACTGTACACTGACTGTTAAAACTTGTGCGGACAACTTTTCTTTATGATGAGTTCTTAGAAGAATCATAGGGTATTTATGTATAATTGAAGTTTTTGAAGAAGAAAAACTGTGATACGTTTAGCCCTACTGTGTTTCTTTTGTCCTGCTTAACTTTTCAGTTCATAGCATGGCACCATCGAACGTTGCATTACAGTGCATCATGGTGGTTTCAGTTCCGTTTCTATTTCAAGGAAAGAGGACTATTCTCTTTCCTCTCTTAAGGAACCTATGAAATATTGTCGGTGGACCCTTTTAATACATCTTAGAAAGTATCCAAGAGCCTTGATGCAAGGGGGAAGACCTGCCAAGCTGGCCTGAAAACATTCTTGTTTTTCATTGTTCACATGGACAATAATTTTTTTCTTTACTTAACAGCTCCCCCAAGAAAACAGCGACGAGAAAGAACAACTTTCACAAAGGCGCAGCTGAAACTTCTGGACGAGCTGTTCGCCAAAACAAAATATCCTGACATCTTCATGAGAGAGGAAATCGCCATGAAAATAAATTTGCCAGAAAGTCGAGTACAGGTGAGAACACGGTGTTTGAAGCCGGGGGCTATTGCCCGCGCCATTGATTTGTTTTGCAAGATAAATTTTGTTTGTACTCCAAGTATGCAAAAGCCTTTAACGTGAATTTGCTCTAATGCCATTGCCAATAAGTGGCTTTAAAACAAGAAGGCGTGCATTTTGTCCTTTGTCCTAAACAGGGTAATACAATTGAGGATGTTGTGCTGAACAGCGTATGTATTTTACGACGTTTTTGTCCTAAACAGGGTCAGGGTCTCCAAACCTCAGCGGCTTACCTATACCCACATTTTGGTCGAGTACCTCCCCCGGGAGCCTTAAGGTCTGTTACTGACTCGAACTGACCAAAAGCCCTCTGTGATTTGACTACAGCTTTAGCTGATCTGATACCAATCTACTTTGATGAGTTTTAAGCTCGTTACAACTCAAACAGGTACAACCAAAGGGTCGTACAAACTTAAGAAAAATACTTGAAGAAGCAAAGTTCGGACAATTCGACCTCCCTTAATGAGATTTTTTCCAAGCCTTTTTTCACTCATATTCAAGTTACAAAAAGGATTTATTGTCTGCAGATGTAAAATTTGGCAGCCCACTTTATAATTGTTAATGGTTCTCTTCATTTTTCATATCAGTATTACTTGAACTGGTTTTGGGAAAGTTTTATAGGATCAACAAGGGAAGTAAATATCGATATCTTTTCAGGAAATAGGTATTATTTTCCACATTGACGGTATTACTTTAATAGGCAATCACGTAGCAATGAGACAAGAAGCACGTCAAACAGCGTATTAATTCGTTTTATACTTCAACGTAATCAGGAAAAATTTAAGTCATTTTCCGCTCATCAGTTATTTGACACTAAGGAACTTATTTTTAGGCTCTAGATGACAAGTTTCATCCCAGAAAACTATAATGGGGGCACATGTTAATTTCATTCTCACCCGTCGTGACAACTTGCATTTACGAGCGTTTACTGAAATATGTTCCCTTCAGAACAGCTTTTAAAAGCGCCGTTTCTCACATTATATAAGTGGAAATTCAATACACAAAGAGTTCAAATAAAATGTTTGAAAGCTAAAGGGTGTTTAAAATCGGGTGTTGAGATGGAGGCTGAAACAGTTTGAAAAACATGACATTGTCTACGGAAAGCATTTCTTATCAAGCAACAAATTTCGCAGTTACCAAAGACAGTTATTTAAGATTCATCGAAAAAGAGCATGGCATAATGGCATGGGAAGCTGTCATATATATTTTTTTATTTCTATAAATGAAACCACTTTATCATCTGAGTATCTTCTTATGACAAAGCTATCGGCTATGACTGTCAAAATGGTGAAAGCGTCATTCAGTGGAGTCAGTGCTAAAAAAAAAGAGTTAATCTCCTTCCGCTGTAGCAGGATCGCCTTAACCTTAAGCAGCCGTATTTTTCCGCAAACGCTCTTGCGACAAAGTATAACTGTACAAAGGAATTCCCTACTTGGAAAAAATAAACAAACAGAAAAAAAAAAGAGAAAAATACAACAATAAAATACAAGCAAATGACAGGAAATCTTTAATCTAGGATCTTTTGTGCTTACTTTCAATATCTTGAGGTTTGTTTCTCATTTGGAGAATAAAACAGTCGACTGACTCTATTATGATACACAGACATAACAGGCCTTCGTGACTAGTATTCTATTTATAAAGCACAACCACTGAAATACACGAAATCTATTAAGCATGTCCCCTGTAGTTTTCTGCAGAAATGTATATTATCCTGTATAAAGTAGTTTTAATTCCTTGCGGGGCTCGTGAATGAAGACCTGATTTATGACCATTTAAACTAAGCTGCTTAGGCAGCTGCTTTCCTGTTTATTCCTTCTGCTGTTTGTTATTTTGGACAAGGATTAGGCTAATATTTTCTCTGAAAGCTTAAGACTGCAAGAGCGCTACACTTAAAAATTTAGATTCTAAAAGAAAGTCGAACCTGCCGACACAAGGGTCTTTGGAACGCCCCTATGTTTGTACTTGGTTGACACACCACAAATCTTACTAAGAGGCGTAGCAAAAAAGAAATTTTTATCAAAACGCTGATAGCAAACATTCAATTAATTAGCTGCAAATTGACCACAGTTTAACTTGTGCAAAGTCTGTCGCTTATTACAGAATTCCTGATTAGCGATATAATCTAATCGCAAAATGATATGTCTTGACAACCTTGTACGAAACTTTCGACGAGCACGAAAATTCAGATTTGGCTAAAATGAGAATTTCTTTTTTTCTTGTGATTTCAACAAAGTGCGACAACCTGACAAAGAATAAGCATTTCTCTCTTTCTTCTGGAGTAACCAAAACAAAACTCGTACATATAAAAAATATGCTTAAACAGGGTTAGCGTGAGCACCGCATAATGTGTTTATGGTTTTAAGCTATCTTTTAAAATCGCGAGGTAGATAAACTCACGCGAAGTTGTTATGCACGACATGAAAACTAAATAAAAAACAAAGTGAAATTGATGTCTTTCAGTCCGGTAAATGGATTTAGGGTGGAACTGCTTGTGAATAGTAATTTCTTTATTTCACTTTGTTTTTTTACTTTTACTATCTTCTACGTCGAGTTGTAACCTTCAAGCCGCAGGTAAAAGACTTAATTTCTTGAAAACAAACTGGAGCACCTTACGGAATACTACCTATGAGGTTTTCTTAAATAGTAACATCATGCATGGTATTCCATCCCTATACTAACAGAAGTAAGAACACTTAATCTTGCAAGAGGAAAAACTAAACGAACTGAACAACTTCTGGGAGGAAAAATTCACAAAACTTGACATACAATTTGTAGTGCTTTTGGAGTTTCTTCGTCCACCAAAGTAATGCAGAGAAAATTAGAATAACTAAGGGTCACCTCTCCGATATGAACATACAAATTCTCCAAATTGATCTCCCTACATTTCCTAACAGAATTAGAAAGCGAAATTTAATAAGGATGATGATTGTATTGCTTCTCATAACCTCTTCTTTTGATGTTGTATGGTTATTGTTACGAATAAATTGATTTTAGACACTCTTGGCTAAAACCAAATGCCGTGCAACAAGTTATACTCACAGCACCTTGCTCGCTTTGCCCTTTGTTCTTATTATTGCTCTGAACATTTGGCTTTTGTTTTGCATTAATATCCTAGTTGGAGCATTCTTAAACTTAAAAATGTTCCACCCTATGCAACCGCCAAATCGTGATGTGCCACATATACGCAAAAATAAGTCGTAACGTGGATACCTCGCTACCCCGAGGACAACTCTTTTTTTTTTTTCGAGTAGTTCATGACTCTGCCAGTAGGTCGATCTTGGCATGGGTTAAGCTTTTCACTCCCAGAGGTGGCCAAAGTCAATTTAGCAAGATTTCAAATGGTCATTTTGTAAAATGCTTTAAAACTACTACCAACATCTGAAAGTACTGCCAAAGAGGTTACATTTGCTCAGTGACTTTCATTTGAATGGTCGCACCATAGGATTTCATACACGGACTCAAAAGTTAGAGCCACCTTATACACTATAATGAACGGTACCACAAGAAAATACTGTTCAGTAGCTTTCATTTAAATGGTCACACCATAGGATTTTATTCATAGACACAAAAGTTAGAACCGCCTTGTACAGCATAATAAACAGTACCACGGAAAAGTACTGCTCAGTAGCTTTCATTTGAATGCTCACACCAAGGATTTTCTCCACAGACTCAAACGTTCAAGCCACCTCATAAACAGTACCACAGAAAATTACTGCTCAGTAGCTTTCATTTAATTGTTCACATCGTAGCATTTTGATTAGAGACTTAAACGTTGGAGCAACCATACAGGTTTCTATCACTCACTCTGGAAGTGAAGGATTAATTGATCATAATTAGCTTAATTTTTTCGGGAATTCATTACTAACATGCTACCAGCGAAAAATAAATTCCCTTGCACTATCGTATAGAGCCTTTTCACATGACTTCACGTCCGCCATTCTGGTGTCCCGAAACATTAAATCGGCGGCCATGTTGGTGTCCCAAACCAATCCTTATGAGAGTTGAACTGATTTCTCACGCTAACGCTTTCTTTTGAGGTAATAAGTATGCTAGCTGATGGCCACATGAGTAAAAACGGTCTATCATAACCCCGTTTTATCAAACCTATACACATGTATACAATTACATTGAATTTCGTTTTATTCGTTTCAAAGGTGTGGTTTAAAAACCGAAGGGCGAAGTTTCGACAACAAAAGAAGCAGCAGCAAGGAGCTCAGAGTAAGCCAAAATCGCCAGTGAAGGCAAGAACCCCCACACCACCTCTTCAACAAGTTGAAGATCCACCAAAGGCATCCAGTCAAGCTCCTCCGTTACAACAGTTGAATAACTTCACGTTCAGTGGCCCATCATGGACGAGCAAACACAACATTCATCAAGGATTGACCAACAACACCCAGAGACACGACAATTACCAGAAGTTTCTCAACAACAACATGAATGCTTTTCCAGGGGCTCTCTTTCCCGCTTCCCAGCCTCGTTTTAATGCAAGCCACGAACAATATTTTCCTTATATGGGAAACGTTGGTCCAATGCCAGGCTACCTGGCAAGAAATCGACTAGAGTCGTCGCCCATGATGTGTTAAAAAAGACGTCTTAAGAAGAAACGTTTCTACAATATTCAATAAGTGAATTACAATGCCTGCTAATGCCCTTGGGTCCAGTCAGAAACCGCGAATGGACACGGCCGGACAAATATTTTGTGGATGAAAGATAATTAAGTACAAGCATAACAAGGGACATTACAGATACTGAAATGAATGAGGAATATAGACAGTATATTGACTAAGGGCCTGTTTACATGGAGGTGGGGGACCCCAGGTAGGTGAGATAACCCGCTTAGGTGGGGTAACCCGCCTGCCCATATAATCTCTCATTTTAATTTGATCACGTTTGCATGATAGATGGGGTGAACCTCCACATGTTACCTCACCTATCTGGGGTCCCCCACCTCCATGTAAACAGGCCCTCAACCGTCACTCCTGATTTTTGGCAACGTTTTAGCAAGTATTCGTCAATTATGTTAGGAAAAAAACGCCTCGTTCAGAGAGTCTAGCGTCTTGTATACCTCAGGTCTCAGGTGGCGCGTTTGCTGTATACAGTCTAATACATGTATTTAACAAGTAAATTACTTTCTCCAATTTCCCGGAAGTAATACTGCCAAGTGTCAAGCTTTAACTAAACAATATTTACAGGATCGACAACGGAAATGTTAGTTTCCAAATCATGTTGGGCGGTTTACACGCCCATGATATTAGCTGTTATGTTATTAGAATACTATCCCAAATAAAATTCCATTGAAAAAATCAATAAAACCCTAAATCATTATACAAGAGGTTTCAAATTCTAAGCGTAATGCTGAGAGCAGGTGGTGGGCAGTAAAATATAATTTTCATCTGAGAAACGATGAACTGAAAAACACATTTTGTTAATTAAAATAAAAATTGTAAAAAATTGGGTCAATAGAGGGGAGAAGTGTGACGTCATGTTACCATGGTAGCAAAATTTCTGGATCACAATAATAGGGAGCTTAAGCAACGACGATTGCCACGGCAACGAGAACGGCATTAAAGTAATAGGTTTATATTAGCAAAACAACTACTTTGCAAGTGTATCAAGCTTTTTTGTAGCCGTAGATGCACGATTGCAACATAAAACTTCCTAATTTCATGCGCGTGCTTTTCGGCTTTATGGAGTTGATGAACACAACACAAAAATTTTCTTTTTCTTTTTCCAACCTTAGATGCGGTCCTTTCGGATTCAATCCCAGAAAAATAATTTCGCCAATTCGACAAACTTAATGAAAATGAATAAGATCAATGAAGTTTTTAACAGTGCGAATTCACGTTTTTTTGGTGACGCTTACGGTTTGTTGTCATCCAGAAAGTTTGCTTCCATGGGAACGTGACGTAATGACTTCTCCTCTCTATTGATGGCTGTGGGATAAAGGACTATTGGGGAGTCATCAACCTGCGAGCAAGCTCTCCAGGGGGGGTCTGGGAGCGAGGGTGAGAAAAGGAAGGAGAGCTTGCAACTACATCTGTGGAATTTGAATTCCACCTCCAATTCCCCTGTGGCTCCCCGTCGACTGAGCTGTCAGATTTCCCCCAATCAGCGCTAAGCGGAAACGAACGCGAATGTAAACAAACAAAAAAAACAGGTGCTAAGGGTAATGACGTCATTTCTTATGTCATCTCCGCCAATCAGCATTTCGCATCGACTTTTTCGATGCAGATATTATATATTCCACAAACGTAGTTCCAAGCTCTCCTTCCTTTTCCCGCTCCGCCGCCAGAGCGCCCCTGAGAGCTTGCTCGTACGACCTCTTTGTGATTTGCATCTTAATTAGCGGCCAGTTTACAATCATACCAAAATAATTTGAAACTGCTTGTGCGCGCTGCAATGTGCAAAACTTGGCGCAATAAGACTGACGCAATAAAAGTGTTACGATTTAAAATTTAGTAATGATGACAGCGCTGGACATACTCTCTAGCTGTAATGCCTAAATAGCGACCGACACCCAAAGAACCAGAGGACACCCAAAGATTACTGTGCTACTCGCCAGGGGGCTCGCATTTATTATTGTCAATTGCAAGCAGCATGAAAAGTAGATCGAGACGACATCTTGTTACCAAACGCCCTTGATTTTATGAATTTCATCTTGGTATAATTAATATTTTGGTGTGGTGTATATCTGTTTGGACTTCTTTGAGACGCAACATATCATGCAGTGACCTTGTTACCTCTGCGTCCTGCGTCTATGATGCATAAAAATCCCCAAAGATGCAAAATTATTCATGGCATGCGTCCCGTAGGACGCAAAGAACGATCGATCGATTTGAAGATTTTTTTGGTAGAATCTCCTGTTCGTGTGATTTCTTTTTTCAGTAAACTGTAATAAAGAGTTTGGGCGTCTATCTCCAGATTAACTGTCTGGTTACTTAAAAACCCAAGCATTTTTAATTTGGGACTCCTTGTGGTTTTGAACAGGGACTCATTGGTTGTAGACAGGGACTCATGATTTTACACAAGAAGAGTCCCAGGACTCACCATAACTATTTGTAAAAAAATAGCCCATCATGGCAATATGACATAACCTCGTGTTCGCATCTTTGCTGTTGATTTTGAACAATTTTAACCCCCTTCCCCTTTCATCAAGGACACATTTGACCAAGTACAGGTACCTCAAGAAGAAAACACAAGGATTGGGGATTGTCCTTGTGAGCGTTGTGGCATTTCTGGTTACCGGTAGAAATGTTATTTTACTTTCAATTGCTACATCGCCTTAACTAAATCAAACTTTAGGCCTTAGTTCTCTGAGACAATTCTAAATTAAAAATAGGTACAGATGGCATACATTAGTTGCAAGGAGACTGCACGCAATCTCTTATTTCGCTTTCATGAGAAGTGGCATGCTCATGTGCGAGACATGATAAGCAAGGGCCTCAGCTTGAGAGGACAATGGGGGGAGGGGTACTTGTCTGAAGTTTACAAAGACACCTCCAAACATACCAGGATCAGTCTGTGCCAATGTATATGCACTCACCAATTCCAAAAGTGAGCAACTATTGCAATATGGTGCAGTTACAAGTAACATCTTTCCCTTATGCATTTCAGAACTCAAATTTCCTTTAGTTCACAAAAGAAAATTTGACATGAATTTTTTTTTGTCTACAAAGAAGTGCTGTTGTGTTTAAAGAAAGTTGATCATGTGATCAACTAGTACAAAAGGCTTATAGACACATTCTACACCTTAAAGGGACAACAAGGACCCTGTATTTTTTATAAGGGATCAGCACCCCCTCTGGCAGAGCATCAAGGAGAACCTTAGAATAACTGGCATTTCATTTTAAGTAAAACCACAGGAAACAGAGACATTTCCAGTGTGCGAGTATAGTTAAATTACCCATAGCTGTAGCAAGAGAAATGAATAAATGGCTGGATTGCATTTTCATTCACAGAAATTTATTTATAGCATGAAAAATATACTGTTCTTTTTTTCTCTATTTATCATCATTATTATTATTATTATTATTATTATTTTATCCATCTACTAAGATAACAAAGTTGGTTGCAATGGTATTTTGCAGAAAACCAAGATGTTTCTCTCATTAATGATCAATGGGCTTTCATACCCCACCCTCAACCCACCAAGACAAAAAAAATTCCTTTAAAGTGCTAAACAGGTTAGGTTTACCTTATTCTCACTTAATTTTGTGAGTATTAAATTTCGCAAATTTCATGATTTGGGAAAAATCGCAAAATGTAAAAATCCACTAAAAATCCCTATAAATCCCTAAAATTTGGGAAATTAAATACTCACAAAGTATGGCTCAGGATTTTTTGCGAATTTTAATACTTGCAAAATTAAGTGAGAATAATGTAGTATCCACCATTGTGTTCTTTGATGTGGAAAAATAAGTCATTATTTGCAATTTTTCCACCTCAGTGAACACAATAATAACTTAGCGTTGTTCTTTCTTTGTAAGAAGTATAAGAAATATTAAATCTAAAAATTATATGTTGTGGTTCAACCTTATCCTTGTTTTAAATTCTATTTCCCTTTGCTTTTGGGTATGCAATAAAATGTATATTAATGAGTCTTAATGCATCAGTCAATTCAAGCTGCACCCAGCAACATTTTTCATTGATCGAACAGTTGAGTAGTGCCATTTTAAGCATTTTAAATAATGTGCGAGTTTTTGTTTCAATTAACATCTTTCTTTGTAATAGTGCTATTCTAATTAAGAGTTTATGCCGTGACGATACCAGCTTATGGTTTTATTATTGTTATAAAATTATTGACATTAAAATTAATAGTGCGCTGTAAAGTTAACTGTTATGAATGGTTTTATAACTATGAAAGGATGTTCTTCAAATAATATCAAGAGAAACTTGATTCAATAACCAAAATAACGTTGATTCATGTCGATAGCTCCCGAGTTTCGCTATGTAATTCTGGCTTGATAAGCAATGAAGAAATGCATGCATAAAATCAAGAAAATGCCTTTACAAACCTCTTCAATAATTTTTCCCGCCCTTGACAAATGAGCCAATCTGCTTGTTTTTCCAGCAAAATCCTCTCTGTAGTTATATTCTGATAGGAAACTGTGTGCATGTCAAAAGCTCGGGGTTGGCCCCGGAGTTGGCAAATGCCCGGCCCCCTGAGCAGTGCAAAATTTGCAAATGTCCCACCCCCGGGACTGAAAAGGCGGGCAAATGCCCCGCAGTAGCCCGGGGGGGGGGCTGCGCCCGCACAGCTGGAATTGACTGATGCTTAAAGAAAAAATCCTGTGCTTTCCTTCTACTTTGGAGCCTGGAACAGGCTATAAACGAAGGAACATTTCATTAAAAGTGGAATAAATTTGAACCACAACAAAGATAGTATAAAGTGCGTCAGGAGATGCGCGCCGTTTATACTGAGTATAATTTTGTAACCGTGCAAAAACCAGCAGACAAGCAGGTCTGTTTTGGGAACCTCCAATCTGGTTGAATAGCGCTACTCGACGGACAAATTTCCATTCTGTGGATAAGTTTTAGGAGAACAAACTGCGTTTTCTACTGTAAAGATTATCCATGAAAGGTGTTTTGAACGACCGGCTTGAACCGCAGCGAACTGCGCTCGATCGAGTTTCAGGGGAAAGAAAACAGCTAAGATATCTTCAATACAACATAATGATCTCCTTACCTTCAATTTTTTGTCCTTAAGATATATAATTTCCTCAATTTTATGTTCAGAACTGCTTGAAATCTGTCATTAAGGCAATGAACAATGAGGCATTTATAGAGCGCCAACAACCGCCATTTTGATTCTTAACTTAGTCCCAGTTCTCTACACCTTCATGGCTTGGCCGCGTAGCACTGGAACCAAGTTTCGCCATTAACATGGACATGACTCAATATTCAAGTAAACTGCCATTAATATTTTTCTTCTTGTTTTCATACACATAACAAACTGTCTGTGCAGGTAAGGTTGTTTCATTTTCGTTTTACACCCTCTGCGTTAGCCTAACTGCGGGTAAAAATTTCAGTGTGTCCACCCTCTCCTCACCCCCATTTTGTCGTCTCTGGCCCCTCTCGCCTTTTCGCCAAATCCCTCACTAGAGAGTCTGGTCACCTGAAAAAATGGAGTTTAAAAATGACAATAGTATGCTGTATCTGGTATTTTGCCTGTCCAAAGGGGCTTTATCAGGTTAGCTTCGGTCTTTCTGAATGCCGCCTTACTTTGGACCTGGTAGGAAAATCTAACTTTGTGTTTGACTATTTCTGTCTCAAGGTAACATGTACCGTAGATCATAGAGGCGGTCAAAATATCCGGGGGGAATTTCAAAACGTTTTCTGCTTGGACGCCCCGCCCTCAAGAACATTTACCCGTTACCTCTTTATATCCCATTGTTGACAGAAAATGAGCCACTTTCACATACCCAGCCTAGTTTAAAGCTTCGCACCCCTTTTAACTGCTGTAAATGTACCAGTAAGTTTTTTCTACTTTTTCACAGCCATAAAATGCATCTGTTAGCCCATTTAATTTGGGTTCATTTACAGACCGAAATGACAGATTTCCCACCTACCCTTTCATACTCTTCAACTGGAGAAATCCCTACCTTTTTATATACCCGTATCCTACTCCTTGTGGGCGGAGCTCCCCGTATAGGTCATTCAGGGAGTATCCCTCTCGGGTCGAAATGATTGTCAGCCTTTTCATGTGGTACCCTTAAAATTTAAAAAAAGTAAGCGAAAGTTTAATTTGGAGGGTTTCTAGAGTTTTAATCAATGCACTCTACAGATAAAAAGAGTTAAAGCCAGTGTTTTGCCGATGCTACACCGTCATGTAACGTTTTGAGGGAATTTCTGTGGCTCATCGGAAATACACTTGTTTTTTCCTCATCGTAGCTTGATGAAGAATAACACAAAAACTGCCGGGTGATAAACATGAGTAAAAACTTCTTAGAGGGGAAAGACTTTTAACTTAAGGTTTCGTCTACTAAACGAAACATAAAGTAAAAGACATATTTTTCCCGCTGTGCGTTTTTCCAAGTTTATCACCGCAGTTTGCGTGTTATTTTTGGATTTTTCGAGGTGAGATCTTTCGCTAGCTGGACATTAGTTTCAGAACATACTGATTTGGGTTTCACCCAACGCTTACCAGATATAATACTAGGTTATTATAATTTTGGGGCAATTATAAACGTTCTTTAATAATTAAACTTTTCTAGTTTATTTTAACATTCCCTTAGTAATCATATCAATAATATTTTGGTTCTTTTAAGTATTTATATTTGCACAAGTCCAATACAACGACTCCAAAAATTTTGGAGATGTTATTAAGCATTAAAAGTTACAATGTCGTAACACATTAAAAGAAGCATGTATACAAATTGGTTTCTTCGTCCAACAGTAAAAATTTTAAGCTATTTACATATTGATAAATAAGCAGGATGATACAAATTAACTTACTTAATTCGAGGTTAAAGAAATTAATTTATAAGGAGGTCCGTTAACATCATTTCAACAATATACATTCTGAACGCCTTGTAACCCCTTTTTGGAAATTATATTGGAAGATGCAATGATAAAAGACTACGACATTTAAAGACAGTAAGTGAATTTAGAATGAATTTGAAAATAAGTAAACTTATTTAGTATACACAATTCACACTAGCAAGGGCAACTTTCAATACTTTTTCGAATTTGTTGCCGGTCAAGAACATGAAGTAAGAAATTGTGCTCAATATGTGGCCTGGCAGATTATATCCCGCGAAAAACACGTTCAACTTTTTTCGGGTTAAATACTATAATGAGTAAATGAATGTCTCCTAAAGCTCTTGACATCGAATAATGTTTCATGCAGTTTCTTCGGCGTAAAACATGATGCATGATATTGAATAGTTTCTTTCTGTTTTGAGTGCCCAGTCAAACAAACAGAAAACAACCCATTTTACAGTGAATCAATTTAGGTTTGTGGGAAACTGCGCAAGTACCCCTTCCCTAAGCCATTATTTTGCCCTAAGTGAGAAGCAAGTGTTAATGTTAGCTTAGGGGAGGGGTAGCTGGGCAGTTTCCAAGAAACCTAAATTCATCCTTTACAGTTACAGGTGAAAACAAGGCTGGAGTTGACCTTTGATATAACCCTTTCTGCTTTATTATGTAAATCATATTTTCTTATGCTAACAAGTCAGGCTCCTGAACAAATTTTTAAGCACAATTTCCATTACAAAAGGAGGTTTGTATCAAAACCAAAGGTCAACCTCAGCCTCACCTACACTCAAAGGCTAGGATACTAAGTCCACAACTGTAAAATGGTCTTCCTATTAAACGAACAAAAGGTTTGAAAATCAAAACAAAAAAAAGTTGTCAAAAATATGACGTAATAAAAAAAGAATAATTTTGCTGACAAGCAATGGAAATGAGCCACAAACTGTAGTTCTGTGATAACTCTTCTGTCTAGTTAGGATTTTAACGGGACTTATTCGGCCCACAGTTTTGGCTGGTTTTGCTAGCTAGTGGAGACATGAAAGAAATGGTACATTTCATAATTCGAGAACTGTTATACTAAGTGTTGCTTTCGATGACAAGAAGAAAACTAGCAAGGACAGAAATTATCTCAACACATCAAAGGTGATGATTCTAGTCGATTTCTTGTCAGGTCGCCTGGCATTGGGCCACCGTTTGTCATATAAGGAAAATACTGTTCGTGGTTCGGATTAAAATGAGGTTGTGCGGCTGGAAAATTAGCTCCCGAAAAAGCATTCATACTACTGTTGATATATTTCTGATAATTGTCGTGTCTCTGCATGTTGGGCAATCCCTGAATATTGTGTTTGTTCGGCCAAGAGGGGGCACCGAAGGTGAAGTTATTCATCTGTTGTGACGCATGAGGAGCTTGGCCAGATGCCTTTGGTAGATCTTGAACTTGTTGAAGAGGGGGTGAAGGTGTTTTTCTCTTCACCGGTGGCTTCGGCTTGTTCTGGACTCCTTGCTGTTGTTTGTTTTGCTGTCGAAATTTAGCTCTTCTGTTTTTAAACCATACCTTGGAGAAAGGAAGATAGAAAAACGAATGAAAATTATGGAATGTTTGATAAAATCTTGATAAACCTGACATTTCCGTCAAATATGTTTATCTGTCATTCTTTTCATGACCTTAAATATAACTATCAGCATAGAGCTTTAATAAGGGTGAACAAAAACAATTTGAATGTGTACAATCCAAAGGTGCGAAAAATTGTTAGGTATTTAACAGGAAGCTGTAAGTATCATAGATATGGGCACAAACGCTAACCAGTCTAACCAGACAAATGCATGGGCGAGGTCATGCGATTGGATCATGAGTTGCGACTACATTCGATCACATCGATGGCCTAAACTAAAGGGAAGTTCTTGACAAAGCTTGCCTCGAAGAATACAAAGTAAAGGGAAAGTCTCATAAAAGCTTTTTGACAGAAAGAAACATTCGCGTGAGTCTAAATAAAAACTGACGACGCCCGGTACTTGAAAGGGCAAGAATTTCAAACTGTGAGGATAACACTGCACTTTTGCATCTCACGATAGCAATTTGTGGTGTTTACACCTTTCTGATTTGAGGTGCTGCAAGCCATAAAGCATATTAAACTCTTAAACGCCTTCTCTTCACTGATGTGCGTCTATTTTTAAGTCGATGAGAATTCTAAATCAAAGTATCGCACTACAATACATTTCGTGCGAATTTTTCAACACGTGTTAATAGAGTCATTTGATGCCAGTCGGCCGAAGATGTCGCCGATGTGGGCGTCCAGTTGTGAGATAACAGTCCCTTTGTAAATAAAGAATCACTAATAACAGCATAATGTGTGGATAATTAAGTGACTGCAATCCCCTAACAACCAGGTTACGCCTCTTTTTAAACAAATCAATAGGATTTTGGACGGATCTTTCATCTTTGTCAAATGATAATCGTTTCCGTGCGCTACGCATGCGCGATAGAGAGTAACAATGTCCATGAGGTTGTGGAATGTTTCAAAAAGCAAAGTAAGTAAAAGTAAAGCTAGTAAAAGCTTTATTAATGGGTCAATGTATTTAGTTTTCACAACTAATTGGGGACACAAAAGTAAAATATGCCCAAAAAATACTGTTTGCAAAATAATCAGATATTTTTCTAGCTTGATCATGAATAAAGTAATCACAAAGAACTGAATGGTAAAACAATGTTCTCCTGAACTGAAACTGTTATCACGTTTTCGTGCTACTTTAAACGACAGCGAGACTTGGAAACATGTCTCTGAATGCGTTAAGGAAATAATACAATAAAAAAAAACCACATCAAATATCTTTGGTTTTTGTGGCCTGCTCCCCGTGAACTTAATACAATTAGCACCGCTCAATGTTATCAGAGCTGTTGGAAAGAAATGAATTTAATTTGATGGTTTTCTTTAGTATGCGGAAGCGAATACTACACATTTGAATGATAATTACTCAGTTGTACTAACCTGTACCCTACTTTCTGGAAGATTAATTTTCGTTGCGACTTCTTCTCTCATGAAGATATCAGGATATTTTGTCTTAGCGAAGAGCTCGTCGAGAATTTCCAGCTGGGCTTTCGTGAACGTTGTCCGCTCTCGGCGCTGTTTTCTTGGCGGACCTGTAAAATGAAAAAAAATCTTATGAATTTAGCTGTAATTTAACATCTTTAAGCACCTTTTCGCAAGATTGCCACAAAGATGCACGAACTTTTGCGCAGTAACTTTCGTCTTCAAAAAAGATAACTTTCCTTTGTAACTATCGTCACTAAGGCTCTATTATTATACTAGGAGCAATAGACGAGTTTGCTCAAAGCTTCCTGTCAAAATTAAGCATTAATAAATTATCTAATTGTTAGAGTTTTTAAGCGTGATTAAACCAAGAAGCTAGATGTATACCTTCCATGAATCGTGCTGACAGACACTGTGGGCAACCCATGCATGGGTAATACCCAGGCCAGCCAAACTCCATTATGGCCAAAAAATTGGTAGCTATAGCGTGTTCTTAATGTCGGTGTGTATAGCTTGGTACTATAACAAAACGTTCAGGAGTGACCGGCCTCAAAACATGCACCTAAATTTATCGCTTTTTGCGGTAATCCTGAAAACCAATTAAAAGAATTGGAAAACAAGCCGTTTTGGGAACATATGTCAGTCTTACTTATGGATTAGCATCAAGCTCTGTCAAAATGCGATACATTGGGGTCCTAAATGCAAAATAGCCTTGACCATGAACAATGGAAAACAATGAGTAAGCCTCGACTCGTTTTTCAAGAAAGCTGTTTCAGTTTCACTCAAGTCGATTTCAATTTCACGTCTGAGTTGCTTTCAAGAGGACAGTCATTCGACATGCTTAAAACGAGGGAACTTTGCTACCAGCTATGACATTTAGTGTCCATGAATTTCACATTAAGTTTTTAAAACACCAACCTAAAGGACCAGTCCTTACGAGTAAAATTAAGTTGTCTCTTAGTTATATAACTGCAGAGATATTTCAAAAACCGTGACAGTACATTTCAATACAGCGTTAACACCTTTATCGTTTCGGATTTTAACTTATAAGATGATCCACAAATCAGTTTAGACTTATCGTGGGATTTAAGTCAGCGACAGGAAACGAAAAAGATATGAATTTATGTAACTATTTTGTTAGCCGATGTTTTGGTCGCTAAACACCCTGCAAAGACGGGCTGGCTGCATAGCTTAAGTTATATCTGTTGTCCGGCGTTAATCTCGTTTTAGTAAGAGGGCCGGACAAAAGAAAAAATAATTGAAAGAAGGAGAAGTTGCTGTCATATTGAGTTCAGTGCTAATATTTCTTAACTAACTGTATTTTAGCAAAAGACACAACACTGAGTAAACCTTTTCTAAAAAACAATAACCATCTGGAGAAAACGGCTGGCCCTAAAACCACTTAGCCATATGGAAAGATAATCCGGATCAAGACATAAAAAAACGACAACTGAACACGCAACAGAATGAAAGATTTTTCCAAGTCTTATTTATTGTACAACTGAACATACCGTATAGTGACGCTTCAGGATTGTAGAACTCCATGGCGGGTGGGGGGTTGTAGTTAAATCCATTCATTGCACAAGGAGGTGGTAGTCTTCCAAATATGCTGTTCATGTCCGCTTGTTTTTCCTTGGTTTGACAGAATTCTAACTGTCGTGCAGAAAACAACCAATGTTGAATTAAACTATTTGACTTATTGACCCAGATGACAGAGTCACATGGGGACTTGGAGACCTTTTGACGAGACATGACATCGTAAATAGATGACATACAACAAAGCTAAGATTTCATTCAATACCAATCCTAAAGTACTTATATAACCCTATTATCTTTCCTGAGACCAGATAATATCTCTTGTTGAGGGGGAGTTCGTTAAGATAGATCACGCAACGAAGTTTGGGTCGCATTAAAGCACACATGTTAATTCATCAAGTATTGCGTGGAATTGGTGGACAACAATGGTCCAAAGTATACTCAAAATGTGTTCCTGTTCTTGTTATAGGCCTAATCATGTTTGTGATATCATGATTCAAGTTTAACGTCAAGCAGAAAACTTCCTTGTATATTTATCACTTTATTTTCATCATCTTCGTGGCTGTTTGAAACTTCCAGTGCAAAATGAACGCAGTGCGGAGAGAAGCATCAATTGAAGCAGATGAAAATACAGCTGAATAAATAGTCAAGTTGAAGAAAAAGGAAATATAAAAGGACTCACGGAAGAAAGGATGAGCAAACTTAAAGAAACAATCCTTGGAGCCACACCGAGAGAAACATGTATACAGGATAAAAGGCCAAGTCGAGTATTTCCTACCGGAGTCTACAACTCGATACAAACGAGACAATAGCAAACACGACTTCCAAAAGCCTCTTATAGATAACCAGGAACTTGTCTCTCCTCGGCTAATTCCTGTATATTTTGTTTTCCTAACAAACAAATGTAGCTATTTGGTTAATAACTACCTGGGTTGTTTGCAGTTGATTCAAATTCAGTAATTGTCGATTGTGTAACCGTATGTAGCCGGCCTAGCGCATGCGCAGCGCATGATTTTATGAATTGCATTTAGGCTGTGGCTGAGTGAGCATTTGTCACTACAAGTTGCTTGTGGTTGCTTTTATATGCACGTTTCCAAAAGAAATCTGAACAAAGTCTAAAACGGTTGATTTCTCTCAGATTTTTGGTAGTTGTACATGACCGGCACATTAACTGTTCAAATTCCGAGAATGTGGAAAATGAAAAAAGTTTATCAAAAAATTTAAGACTTAAACCTTAACAATGGTGAGTCATACAAGCTATACTTAGCGGAAGAGCCCAACCAATAGTTTGGCCATTTGAAAGGTCAACGAATGATTTTGTCCACGAACCAAAAAAAATCGAATTTAACACTTATTCTCCATAATTGAATCTGGGAATGAGAAGGTTACCCTCATACTCCCATGGCCAAAGGTGGCTGAAGTCAAAATTCGGCAAACTTTCCAAATTTCACTTTGTACAAAGTTTAAGAGGGAATACCACTAGGCTAAAATACTCCCAAAGAGGTTTCACACCATTTACTTCATCCACAAACTCAAAAGGTAGAATATCACCTTGTACATCATACTAAACAATACCACAGGAAATTATTGCTCAGTAGCTTTAATGGTTACACCATAGGATTTTTAGTTCGAATCACAATGTACTGCCAAATTACTGCCAAAGAGGTTACATTTGCTCAGTAACTTTCATTTGAACAGTCACACCATCTGATTTCATCCACAGACTCAAAAGTTAGAACCACCTTGTACAGCATAATAAACAGTACCACAGGAAAGTACTGCTCAGTTGCTTTCAGTTGAGTGGTTACATACACCATAGGATTTCATCCACAGACTCAAAAGTTAAAACCACTTTATTTACAAGATTCCATCATTCACTCTGGGAGTGAAAAATTAATTGTTTCTTGAAAGGCAACTTTTAAATGTCGCTCTAAACATGGTCACTCACAAGCCACTAACTACTGTGATTCTGATTTAGCATTTGCCAGAATCACGTGGGAGATGCCTTTAAATTTAGGGAGAAAAACTCCCCGGGAAAACTGAAGAAAAATCATTTCTGGAAGACAGTTTTCCTTTTCTGAAACGTGATGAACTGTTCAATGTCCTTACGCAAGAAATCTTCCGTCATCATCCAGCGACGCACGTATTCCTTGCCCCCGTGAAACTTCCGAGAAAAGCAACATTTACACTAGGCGGCACGCTCGAAAAATCAACTTTATGTTTTAAGAAAGTTAACTCTTGTACTGAGCCTCTCCGAAGCAAGAAGGTGTTTCAAGTCCAAAAATCAAGGGGAAAAAGGACTTTCTTATATCATTTTCAGACTCTCCAATACAGTTTGATCTAATTTCCGGATATTTCTGGTGATAATTTCGGCAGCAGGAAATCTTTGGGGCAGAAAGGTTATGCCTCTAAAATTGCAGGGAGAACTGGTCTTTCCTAGAAACGTAACTGTCGTAACTGTGGCTTCCCTCATTTCCGGCAGCAGCAAGTCAGGATTCAGTCGTCAACAAGTCCCCAACAAGTGTTCAATTGGAAACTGAACTGAATCCTAATTGTGACTATACTTTATTAATGCCGGAGAGATTTCATTTGATTGGTCCTTTGGTCAGTCCGTTGGATTTCGTCTACAGAATCAGAAGTTTAGAAGAAATTCAGTCAGTCATGACTCCAGTGGTGATCAACGGTTGACCATGACCTTGTTTGATCGGGCCCAGAATAACGTTAATTTTGATCCACCCACCTTAACAAGGCGTTAATTGAGTATCTGATATGTACGTTTAAGCAACATTTTCTAAACAATTCTTATAGGGACTAATGTTTTCTCCTCTCGAACAGATCTCAGTTACACAGGCTTTGTTTTATTGGCTGTCATTGTCTACCATTTGTCGTTGCAATTTTAAGGTATTCAACAAGCGATCTAATTAGAAAAATCAACAAAATAAATACACGCATTCAGTTTTAAATGGGTATGGAGATGTGCCAAATATAATTGCACATGACAAGACATGATTGCGGTGAACCAGGCGCGTGATTAGGTGTGCGTCATTTGGTGGATACTTCCACCAAAACAGCACGTATTATCCTTCTATTTCCTTGTTTTCAAACTTAAAATTATTAAAAAATGCCACCTTCATCAGGGTTTAAAGGAAAAGGTTATTTTGTGAAAGTACCGCCAATGAGGCTTCATCTGAGAGGTCACACATGAAAATTTCGACTACAGAGGTTCACAAGTTATTATATGGTGATAGAGACGGTGATACTGTTATAACTTATATTCTGCTCCATCTAAATTGACTCGCAAGTCAACGGATGCAAATCTAACTTTACGATAAAAGTATATTCTGTTTAAAAATTTCAAGTAGGCTTAGGAAATTAAAGTGAAACATTCGCAGAACTTGCAAGTGAAGGGTTTGAAAATTTGACTTAATCAACAATTAAACCTCACTCGTTTAAATATCTATTTAAAATCTTATAAAAATAATTACCTCCTTAACATATCAACGGTATCAGGAACGTGTTAGTGCTTTTAAAAGAGTGAGTATAAAGTTTTTAAAAAAAATAAAAATTACTGCAAGAGATAATGATAAAAAGATAAAAGCGAAAATTTGTGAAAAAATTTACAGTTGTCAAGATGGCAAAATTTAGAAATGTGGTCCACCAACGAAAGTGCCATGAAGACCTAAGCTGTGAAGCAGTAGCTTAAAGTCGCTTACGATATCCATCTTATGAACTTTACGACTTGTTGTTTTTTGTGGTACAAATTAGCCCAGAATCACGACGAACATCTAACCCGATTTTGTACCTTATTACTCACGCTAACGCTCAATTCTAGCGTCAATTGTGTGATGCAGTTCTTATCTTTGAATCCTTGAAGGAATCCTACGGTGTGACTTTCAAAATGAAACTACTTGTATTTCAAAATTTTGCGTTATGAAATCTGGGACTTCTAGAAATGCTACGACCATGAAAAGAGTGAAGAGGGTTTTACAATAGCTTCTGTAGGTGAGGTAAACTAATGACCTGATGTCAGGGAAAAGTTGCTCTTCCAACTAAGCGTTAGTTTACCGATAGATATGGGGGTGAAAATTGTCTAAAATTTTAACTCTTGGATTTTTTGAACTGATAATTGAGATCAATTTTCCTGACAACTGAGAATTGGATAACATTTAACCGGGCAGGGTCTTAAATGACCAAAAATCTAATACGTAAAAAAAAAAACACAACAAGCCAGCAAGTCGACAAAAAGTATTGTTCCGCACGCACGATGAATGAAGGTTTCAAGAAAAAAATGAATCAGCAACAGAGAAGAAGATTTTCAGATTCTTTTGCGTTTTCATCAGGCGCAAGCTGTTATGTATTCCAGAAAACAGTTTCAGCTGCTGAAATTTAAAATATATGAATAAATGTTGCTTATCCCGAGGTTACTTTTAACTTACCTAATGAAATAGACCTGATTTTGATCTCCCTTGAACGTTATTCTGCACTCCTAGTTTTTCAAACTCACCTTTTCAAACTTCAGTCAGATCGGTTTTGAGAAAGATGGAAATGCACTTCTTTGCTCGTTAAGTCTAAATGAGCATACAAGCAAACTAGCGGCGGAATGCGAAGTGAGGATTAAATATTTCTGCGTCATAATAAGTTAATCCGGGGTGTTATCTAACGTCATTGACGTCAGTATCTAAATTTAAACAGTCGAAAAGTTTCTGAAAGTGTTCTGGTCTTTTTAAACAAAGTTATATCTCATAAACCCTTTTGCACCTAAAGATTTATCAACCGCTGGAAATCCTTTTAGAGATGAAAACGAGATGAATATTTATTCCTCCTTATCAAATACTGATAAACGGAATGTCACCTCTGTTGTAATGCTTTGTGAACTTTAAAAGTATTTCATTGTCTAAATTGGCATTGACAAATGCAACTGTTTTATGAGCCCCCAAACCTCTGAACTGAAAAAGGATAAATGTTTGACTGCTCCTAACCTTAATTTATCGGTTTAGGATTTGAACCACAAACAGAAAGTATTGCTCAAAACTTTCCTTTGAATGGTCATCCTGGATTTCATTCACAGTCTCAAAAGTGAG